GCGCTTTCGGTCGTGTAACGTTAGTATGAACGGACATCTGCATATGATCGGAACTCCACGCAGCTCCCGCGCTACTCTATACTGGTGGTATTACAGTACCACGAGAGCTAAAGAGAGCAGACTGCTCCGTATGCTTTCGAATCGCTCTCGCGGATGTCAAACACTGATCGATCTGCGCCGCACCTCTTCTAGTCGAACACTAGTGCTGCAGGCTTATTGGCTCACTGACGCTGATGAGATTAACCCCTTAGGTATCGAAATTTGGTAGTGAACGATGCAAAAGGGTCTGGCTGCAGCCTTGCACTTGCATTCTCAGACTTGCACTCTCAGACACCTGCGCACCCGCTAGCGACGTCACTTGCAGTCATTATTTTTTATTTTGTTCTATTTTTTATTACTTTTTGTTTGAATCCTGATCTTTAAATTGCACTTAATGTATTTTAATACATTAAGCCATATTACGTGTTTATGTTTTTCTACAGGAGGAAAACGCTTAACGAGAGACTTTGTGCATTGCGTTCATATTCTGCTGTTCTGTGGCCACGGATTTGCGGGTCTTGTCTTTTTCTTGCAGGACCCTGTATGTTATAGTACTAAATTAGTTTTAATCGTTTAATCACCACCACAGCTTCTTGTCTCCATTGGCAACACGCACGATTTGTATCGATTGCAAGTGACGTCACAGGTAGCGGAGAGTGCAAGTGACATTGTAATTTAGTTTCTTTTTTCTTGTCTTCACCACCTGGCTACTGTTGTAAAATGTTGAGAGATTCAAACAAAAAGTAATCAATAAATAAAATGTTGAGAGATTCAAACAAAAAGTAATCAATAAATAAAATGTTGAGAGATTCAAACAAAAAGTAATCAATAAATAGAACAAAATAAAAAATAAAAAAGACTGCAAGTGATGTCAATTGCGGAAGCGCAAGTGTCTGAGATTGCAAGTCTGAGAGTGCAAGTGCAAGTCTGCAGCCAGACCCTTCTCGAACGATGAGACGTTTTTCGATACTCGATGGTATCGAGGCAATTCGGTCGGTGCCTAAAAAGTATCGAACTCGATACCCAGCCCTAGCCAAGACGCACTAGGCTGACAACAGCACATTCTTGGATTGAATTTGTTTTTTAGTAGTAGTCCTCATAAATAATAAAAATTATCTTTTCCATTAAGGGGTGATATTTAAACCTAAACTGAGTTTTTGACTTGTGTAAGAATTTTTTGAGTGTAAAATATATTTTAATAAAATGTCCAATTTTAAATTATATTAGACAACATTTTTACTCCGAAAATACATTATAAGACATTTTTAAAAAGATCTCTCTTGGAAGAATTTTTTATCATTGATTAAATTGAAATATTCTAAATTATTTTTATCAGTACTATTGTTGTTACTTGTATGTTTTTGTATAGTGATTATTCTTAAGAAAATGTTATATTATTGTAAATTATGTATTGAAATTATACTTTTAATGTTGCCATGAATATAGCCATTGTTGCTGATATGGCGCCAAAACATACATACATAAATAAATAAACAGATTTCCTTGGTTTTAGGGGCACATTTTCTCTAACCTTACTAGAGGTATGTTTTATGTTTTGTCAGATTTTGTAATAAATTCAGTTAGAAGAACTATTTGTTCAAAACAGACAATATTGTGTCTAAAATGTAACTCACTTAAAATTAATTTCTTTTTAATTTGGGGGAAAAAAGCACTGTTTCTGGTGTGATATTGCATAACTATATCATATTTTATTACATTTATTAAACACATTTTTTCCATTTTCCCCCTTTTGAATTTGAAGGCTTTTTATTAATATTTCTTGGCATTTTTCCCTCAAGCCCATGTTCATTTCCGACCCTAGTTGTTCTGTGACATTAGATGCATGACTTCACCTTCAATCTGATGATTAACCTTCAGGATTCACACATACTAATTCCCATGCATTCATTTTGATGTGTCGAATGGTTGAATTCCAGATATGTATCAGAT